CTCTCTCTCTCTCTCTCTCTATTTCTCTCTCTCTTTGTGTGTATGTGTGTGTGTTTGTGTGTATGTATCTACGTATATACATATAGATGGGGTTTATGGGCACAAGTCGGTGCTGCTATACCAGGATTGATTAGTTATGTGGTTGCATTTTACTGGCTACGAAAGGGAAGGTTCCCTGTTCCTGGGGACTAGCATACCCTATGGGATTTGAGGAAGTCTTAGATAGAGTGAGCTGGTCCAGCACACCAGCTTTTCCAAACATGTTATTCTTGTCCACATCACTTGCCATGCCTTCAAAAACCTATCTTTATCTACATAACATCTTCAAAAACGTAAACTTTACCCACTTTTTGAGCACGCATGGCATCACATGCGTCATCCGACCCTGATTCCAGGCAACAGTGTGCCTATTCTGCACTTTAGGGCTCGCACTAGTTGTTGAAGTTGGGATTAGGTATGTCCGCAAGGTTTTTTGAGGGTTCATGGGTACACAACGGCATGTCCGGCATTTGCCAGTGAGAGGGTACATGCTTCAGCAGGGTCCATGGGTACACCAATATGGGACCACACCCCAGCACACTCTCCAACTTTCGAGGCTGGATGAAGAGGACACCGTAACTCCCTCCAAGGAATGCTCACTGCAGTCGGTTAACTTTCCAATCTTGGAGATTACTTCCTGAACTCAGGGGCTCGCTTCACTGATCGCCGGACGTGAGTGCTGGCGAGTGCATCCTTCCATTAAAACTGCAACAAGGATACACCCAGCCTTTTTCTTTTCACATTTGGCATGTAGTGGAGCAAAGCCCTCGCTCCTCTGACTGCGCCGAGGACCTTTTTCTTGTGTTATATAACTTATATTTGAATTTTGAAGAGACAGTTGAGTGGTGCTTGAGTTCTCCAAACATGCGTTTTGGAGAGTGGTTGAGTGAGGCCTATGATAATGTCAAGTAACCGCCTTTAGTGCATGACAATATTTTCAATAAGAGATCACCACTTTCACAAGCCAATAAAATGACACCTGCACATAAAGTGTTAAACAAATTATACAAATCATAAATATTAAATTTCAGTTATGGAAAACCGATTTTGTATAGATTTACACAGTCCGAAACAACCTCGATACAGAGAAGATTAGCATGGGCCCAGCGCACAATGAATGAAGCAATGGTCCCCGGGGGGGGGKGGGGGGGGAGAACTCGATAAGGGTGCAATTTTTGCCATGAGCACAGAGGCACATCGACAATGAGAGGTGGTGTTGCGTCACAATTTGAGAGAAGAGTGGTAAGAGGTGGGTAAAGTGGATATCCACCTATGAATATATCGGATATTATATAATATGTCTACTTTATCCACTAATGTACACCTATAAACATGTGATAAAACAGACTGAATGCATTGAATAGCAAGTATATAAGCGAATGAACCACACCGTCGAACCAGAATACATGCAGTGCATTGCCTCGTGTGTGTGTGTGTGTGTGTGTGTGTGTGTGTGTGTGTGTGTGTGTGTGTGTGTGTGTGAACCAACCCCAGAGGCTGCAGTTAGTCGCATCAGAGTGCCAGAATGAGCGATACCTTTCAAAATGTCCAAAAGATAGTGGATTCTCAAATTCAACTCTCTGGTCCGCTGTACCAAAAGGGCGGGCAGGGAGGTGGAGATGTAGGAGAGAAAGGAGGACAGTAAGCAGGGCAACACTCTCACACCCGATCTGCAACACATGCACAGTACAACGGAATGGTATCATATGCGCTGCATCTATGACTGCACTGAGGAAGGTGCCTCACGCTTGATTCCGGCCTTGTGTGTCATCCAACATCAAACAGCTTCTTCCTCTGCTTCACCTCGATGGCGAACCCCTAACCTACCCTTCAAACCCTTCTCCTCCGGTGAACACCTTCATCATTCCTCATCTCCCTCGTGCGAGCGTCAGTTACAGAGGAGCTAGACTATCTGATTCTCCTTCCAGGTATTCTCACCAACCTATCCATGGAAGCTCCTGCAAGCTATGGATGGTCACGTAGGAGTTAAGATTCTGTTCGTACCGTCAGATTCTTAGCGACCATTCTCGGGCACCAACGTTAAGCCATGCAGGCTTGTGCTACCGTCTTCACCTCAATAGAACGCCCGGTCATTATAGCTGTATTTGGGACAACTTCCGATCCAGCGATAATGACCGGGCATGTATTTGGGTGAAGACGGTGAGTTCAGCAACGTATCCCCGACTAGAACAGAGGGGATAAGAAAGAAGCTGTGAGCTGGTGCTGCCTACTTAGTACACACTGCTGGATTGGCTGAGAGAGGGACCATAAAGGTCCAACCGATGGCCTCCTCGCCTCGTTAAGGGTCTTTTCTTTTTTGTTCTTTTTCTTTAAGGGTCATGCCCAGACCCTTAACCTGTATCCATGGCTAGTGCTGTGCCTCTGCCCTGCAGTTTGCCCGAGCACCGCTGTAGGTCCCTGGCGATGCCCCCCGCCCTCTCCCAAGCATGGTGTTCCGAGGTGAGCATTACTGCTAAGGGACATCGACGTGATGGCAACGGCTAGCGTGAGAAGTCGTGAGTCCGACCTCCTGAGCCCACGAAAAAGGTCTGGGATCTGGGTTGATAGCGAGTCCACAAAAAGGTACAAGTCGGTATTCTTCACTCAAGCAAATGGGAAAATAACTCATGCCCTCGAGGAACGGAAAGGAGCACCACTTTTGTTAGAAAGACTTGACCATCCCCAACACTCAGAGAGAAACAGAAAGATAATTTTCCAAGAGGCCGGCAGATTACCGGTAAGAAGATTGTGAAGAACCATCTGTCCCATTCGACCTTCCCAATGGTTCACCGGTCCCTCTAAGTGCTTCGGTACCGAAATCATGGGATTCCAAACGTTAAACCACCAGTACCTTTCCCTGCTTGAAAATCAAATATGGGCCCGGAATATTTGGGATTAAGCGGGGATCGGTACTACCGGACCAAAATGGCTGCTGGCACCAGCCAAAATGAGGCCGTGCCGGTTCGTTTTTTTTTGGGCGCGCAGGGCGATTTTAGGCTTGGCATCGATAGCTGAGAAAGGTACTGGTGGTTTAAACAGGTTGGACGAGAGTGCAGATTGCCCTTCAGGTGCTGTTGCCGCTTTGTGTACTGGTTCCCGCTCCTCGAGTCGTCGACTGCGTGGTATGTGCACTCTAAGACTTATTCAATGCAATACACTCTGTGGGTCTACCAACATACTCGCAACAGGACTTGATGGGTGAGTATCCCCTATCTTGCCCTATCTCTAGACGTGATCGGCAAGAATCAGGTGGCGAAGTACTACCGTAGTAGGGTGAGTATCCCATATCTTGCCCTATCTCTAGACATGATCTGCCAGTGAAAGAGGGGACATTCATGGTAAGAAGATTTGGACAGACGCAGCTTGGTTCTACAAGGTAGGATTAGGCAGCAAATGAGGGGTGTGGGTCTCATGGCTCTCTAAATGCACACTCATGCTAGGAATTTATGTACCTGACCAGAATTGAAGGAAAAGTGAGTCCAGAAAGTAGTCAGTATGCCGTAAGCTTGACCCTATGCGCACTTAAATCACCAGTACCTACCGGTTGCGGCGGCCGTGAACGCGGTAGCCGAACCGGCCTGCCCCTCCGGTCCAAATTCATTCGAACCTGGGGGGTACGAAAAATGGGGTAGGTACGGGTGGTTTAAACCACCACTAACTCGGAGCCTCATTTTCTCGATGCTTGATTTAGCCTGTTGCTGGACTACCCAACCGTTGTGGGGGTCGGGCCTGGCAGGGGCAGGATGTGTGTCGCTTTTGCCGCTGGGATTTTTTGGACAGGCAAATCTTCTTTTGTTTTCCCTAAAATTTTCGAGTATTTTTCCCATACACACCACGGTGATATGTACCCCACATCCATGGATATTTCCAGACCTTTTTTTGCGGAATGTGAGCAAAAAATCGGCAAACCGTGGGCACTTGAAAAATTGTGTCCCTATCCTGCGGCCGCCTGCCGCCGACAGGGCCACCCTGACCACAGCCCCCCATGTCAACCGACGCATCTTTTCAGCTAGCAGGGAAGGCTACTGGTGGTTTAATGCACCACCAAACAAACCCTACACAACCTACCAAAGCCATGGTCAGTGGACTCGTGGAGCCACCTACGCTGATTGCTATTCCTAAGCCGTAATGTGGCTGTTCTTTAATCAGCAATACTTTTCCCAGCTATTTTGTTCCAGCATAGCCCGCTAACACGCTGCTTCTTTTGGGTGTCGGCCTACTGAACGGAAAATGCTGGTGGTGACCGTGGTGGCAGTCAGAGAATCCCGATTTCACACCTGCTCTGGTCCAATTCAGATTCGACGCGTCGCAGGAATTGGCATCAGGAAAATGAGGCTCAGGAAGTACTGGTGTGTTTATCCCCTCTTGGACAGTTCCAACGACGACCCCACATTTGTGCTAACACGGCATCAGAATCCTGCGCTTCCCCACAGGACTTTTTCTGAGATCGGTGGTAGTTGCTCGCTCAGTGAGGCTGAGGTCAAGATTGTTGCAGTTGCTTGGCCCATGCGTATGATCTCTAGTAGTTTAGGGCAAGCCGTCTGTCAGGGAACCTTTTTGATGATCATAAACAAACTGGACGGTCTTACATCGGGTCATCAATGTGTGCGAATCACTACTTGCTAACACACACGAAAAGTCCAAAATCAAAGCCATTTGGGATTGAACCTATCACCTGCCACCAAAGAGGTGGATCACTTTAACCAATAGGTGAAGTGAGATGGGATGAAAGTGAAGGCCCTTGTGGAATCACCACTACCTTTTGCTCTGGCACGGCCACTGTGCAGCCCATGCTTTGTCAACTAGCACACTGGATGGACAATCAGGCCACCATAGTTTTTTCCTTGCATCGGCGCGGCCTGGTCTGGTCTGGTGGGCGCGAAAAGGGAGCGGTGATGGTTTAATATTTTGGAGTATTGCCCATGGAAGACGACTCTTGCAACTGCTTGCTTAGGAATAAGGAGGAGGAGGAGGAGGCAGCGGAGGAGGCATAGGAGGAGGAGGAGGCAGAGGAGCGGGAGGAGGAGGAGGAGGCAGAGGAGGAGGAGGCAGAGGAGGAGGAGGCAGAGGAGGAGGGGGAGGCAGAGGAGGAGGAGGAGGAGGAGTTGTAGAAGGCATGTAGCCTGACAGCTTGGTTGCATGCAATGCTGGACAAGCCCGGGGGCTTGTTCATCTTTTTGATTCATACAAATAGCATCAGTGGGACTTGGTTCTTTAAACCACCAGTACTTCTGAGCCACTTTTACCCTGGCCTCCAAATGGCCTGGGCGCCAAAAAACAAAAAGAATCCGCACGGACCTTGTTTTGTCTGGCACCGTCGGCCATTTTGCTCCGGCTGCCAGCCCCCGAAAGCCGCAGCAGAGTGCGAGCCATGTTGGAGAAAAATGGCTGGGAAACGTACTGGTGATTTAAAGCAGTAGTACACCACACATCAGCCCGTGGGTGTCAGCATGAAACCCGCACCACTTCGGAGGCCGCCGTTTTTTTTTTTCCAACGGCGCCCTTGGCCGCGCAGCGCCTCCAAGTTTTGCTTGTGGCGACAAACACTTTCTGCAAGGCTGGGGCCGTGTACTAGGGGTTTAAGGAAACATCAGCATCAGCTCATCAAGGCCCGGAGTTGGACGGTTGTAATCCATGGTAGATCTATTCTTTAAAACTCCGACACGCATTAGGCTGTCCAACCCTCCCCCGCTCTTTCAAGAAGTACAACTCTGTCAGACAGTACGATTCTGTCAAACACAACAGTTCTGTCCTACAGTACAGAAGTAAAATAGTGGACAAATACCACATGATACGGCTTCTTTTCTGTGTGCGTCGAAACCACACAAACCGAAGGAGCGCTAGCTATGAAGAATTTCGGGCCAGTGGCCTATTCAGCAGTCTCATAAAAGACGTACCTTTTTTTTTGTTTCTAAACTATAAGCTATTTAGCCTATTTCTTCACTCATATACCTCACGCTACGTCGCTACCTAACCTCTTACCTATGTGCAGTTTGTCAAGCGTTGCAGTAGATCCTTATCTATGCACACGAGCCGGGGCACCGTAAGAGTTATGGGTTGGCACCACATCCTCCGGTGTCTAAGCACCACAGCTCTTCAATCCGATTGAAGAGCAATATCTGATCCATGGTCCAGAGAAAGAAAAAGGTGGGGAAAGTGGGGAGCCCCAGTCTCATGAAAGACATAAATCTATGGACTGCGGCCTATAAGAAGAAGTAAAAATCTGTCGTCAAAAACTGCACAACTCTGTCGAAGAAGTACGAGTCAGTCAAAGAAGTACAAGTCTGTCAGAAAAATTTGTGCAAGGAGTACAGCTCTGGAAGTACAACTCTGTAAAAGAAGTGCAAAAAAAAAAAAAAAAAGAAAACCTGCAACTCTGTCAGAGGAGTACAACTCTGTCAGAGAAGTGTAGCTCTGTCAAACACCCTACAACTCTGCCAAAATTGTCCTTCGGGACATCCGTTAAAATTGGAACGATACAGAGAAGATTAGCATGGCCCCTGCGCAAGGATGACACGCATAAATCGAGAAATAAAAAAAAAAAAAAAAAAAAAAAAAAAAAAAAAAAAAAAAAAAAAAACAAACAAAAACAACTCTGCCAAAGAAGTAACCCCCTGCCAAACTGGACACACTAAAGACAACTAGATTGGCTTTGGCTATGTGTCTCGTCACACTAAAAGATTGTGTTGCACTCGCTCACAAAACTGCTTTGAGGTGCGACATACGTCACACTAAAGGATTTTGCTAGACATTTATCACCAGGCGCGCCAAGAGGAAGACCTAATCCCACAGACGCTGAAACTCGAGATCCAGCACGATCACAAAAATCATCGGGTAGGTCGCAAAGCTGATTTGTGCAGTACCATGAAGGTAAAACTTGTGCATTGGCGAGCTCCACAGGGGAAGTGCACAACCATAGAAGTTCAGTAATCTCAAAACGCTTATCGTGCGTTTGAGTGAGTTATCAGACTGACTCTTTGTCTGAGCCATTCCACCTCCTCCTCCTCCCCCTCCTCCTCCTCCTCCTCCACCTCCTTCAATACTGAACTTGGCTTTCTGAGCATCTGCACTAGGCTGAATGGACACCCTCTTTGTGTTTCGAAACTTGTGTGGCACTGAGTTGAGTGCGCTTTATCCATTTATACGTTGTTAATGTCATCTGGATCACCGAGGCTTGCATGATAATGACGAGAATGTCTCTACAAACTAGGTGACGATGAAGTCGGATGAAGACACGTAACGTGACGTAAGTCATGTGTTCATCCAAATGTGAACATGTAGTGATTTGTTTTTGGTTTCGCAGCCCCTAGCACTGCTGTGTTCATCTCCTTCAATCAGGATTGCTCATGATCTGATTCTCTACTGGTTCCATTCGTGTACCGCATGGGCTTGGTGGACATCTACTTTGTGTTTCCCTTGCACCAGAAAACTGGTTCACCGAGCATCCTTCATGTCAGGCTGTGATGAAAAGGAGTCGGCAACTACCGTCTTTACCCGAATAGAACGCCCGGTCATTATAACTGCATTTGGCCCAACTTTCAGTCCAGATGCAGTGATAATGACCGGGCGTTCTATTTGGGTGAAGACGGTAGCTCAGAGGCAATCATTTGTGCTATCCAACAATTGTCACAGATTGACATGCACAGTAATCAGCCAGGTAACCAGCCTGGAAATGGTACCAGGAATGTGGCGGCAGTTGGGGGTCGGCCCCCCCTACCGTCTTCACCCGAATAGAACGCCCGGTCATTATAGCTGTATTTGGTCGAAACTTAAGTCCAGATGCAGTGATAATGACCGGGCGTTCTATTCGGGTGAAGACGGTAGTGTGAAGTTGGTGGATATTGTGGATGGGGCTTGTGTGTGGTTTGAAGTGGAGCTGGTGTGTGACACGTGTCTGGGTGTTGCTGTGTCACCCTCTACAACAACTACCCACACCACGCCAGCTCTCACAGTTTTTTTCGACAGTTCATGGGTGTACCAGCTGAGCTAGGTAGGCATGCTGGTAAAAAAAAAAAAAAAAAAAAAAAAAAAAAGAGGGCGACGGTCTTGAGATATCATCATTGAACTGACGGGCCCTAGGTAATTCAGAATCATTTGATTCTGTTCATCTGACAGTATCTGGATTCAAACTTGGCTCTGTATTTCAACAGTTCATGCATTGGGTGTACCAACTGAGCAGAGGCCCGTTGGTTGTTGGTGGTGGTTTAGCTTGTCGAGGAAAGGAGGTTACGAGAGCGGTTCTGTGGAGGTGGTGGGTGAATTAACAATGACACTTTGTGAGAGTATCAATGACACTTCGGGAGAGTATTCCACGAAGTGTCAACTGTGAACGACATGCACTGCCCGCGGTTTCAGTGACTGAGAACCCATTGATGCCTTCCTCTTTGAATCCATGGGGTGATTGCAATGACTGAGTGGCAGCTCGCTTGTTCATGTTGCTTCTTTTTGCGGTGACCGTCATGATATTAGCATGAACCACTTTGTGAGGAAGTCTTTTATCTGTTAGACTGTTACTATTTGAGGTGGGAGGGGGAGGGGGAGGGGGAGGGGGAGGGAGGCGGGGAGCTACGAACGGGGCGGGGAGCTACGAACGGGACTAATCAAGATACTGCACCTGGTTGTTTATGTTTGCAGGGCTGGTTAGTGGAGCAGATGAGCAAGTATGGTGAATGTTGACGTAATTGCCGGTCTTCAATCCGATTGAAGAGGCAAATATGTTGTGACTGAAGGCATTGGTGCAACACACACACACACACACACACACACACACACACACACACACACACACACACACACACACACACACACACACACA